TAGAAGACAAATCTGAGACTCTTATTGTGAACTAACCAGCAAAAAGACAGAACTAGAACTAGCTCAAGTGGTAGAACACCAACTATGAACAAAAAAAAAGCAGAGTTTTATAAACAGAGAGAGAACACGAAGTCCTGAGTTCAAACTCAGTACAACATATATATATATATATATATATATATATATATATACATATAAATGTTTTTATTTCATTTAAAACATTTCTAATTGTAAGGTGTGCCATCATTTTTTCTTGCCAGTACCAGTGTTGAAGTTCTGTGCCTCATGCTTTTGCTCAGCTTTCTTGCTCACAGTTGGTGCTTTGCCACTTGAGTTACTTTTTACTGATTAACTGGAGAGGCTATCTTGTGGACTTTTCTGTTTGGGCTGGCTTTGAACCATGACCTTCCAGGTCCCAGCCTCGTGTGTATCCATTTGTGCCCAGCCCAACTATATCATTACTTTATTAAGTCAAAGAAAAGGCACTTCTCATCAAGCTGGCATCATCTATAACATGCAACTCAATTCCAAAGATGCTAAAGCAGGGGTATAGATAGTAGTCACTGTTTAAGAATCGATTAATAAATGAAATGTTTCTAATGGAGCAATGCTATAACACAAATGAAACAGATGAGACAACAGGAACTCTAGGGAAACACCCAAAGCTAAGGATTAAGCTTGGCCCTGAGGAATGTGGTCTGGCCCATTGACCCTTAAACTTAGGGTCACTGAAGCAGAAGAAAACATTGAGCCAAGTGGAAGCAATGAAACCAAAACCCAAAAGGCATAAAATGACATTCAGTTTTATGAGGCAATGAGTAGACCGATCCACTAGGGTGACAGAAGCTTAGAACAGGAAGGATGGAGCATAGAACCAGAGTGATCTGAGAATTACACCCATCACCCATGGACATCCTATAAATAAGAGTTCCACCATGCTGTCATTCAACAATGCTTATTTGAGCATAACTCTAAGGTACTCTGAAGGATGCAAATAAATCACATAAATTGTGCCTACTAAAAGAGATGCATCATTTACTAAAATAACTAAGAGATAAGTGACATCCTCATTCCCATTTTAAAGATGATAACAATGGTGTATAAAGAGATTAAGTAGCTTACTTAGTTTCACACAACTGGTAAGCAGCAGAGTTAGGATTCAAATCCAAGTATTTTACTCTGGAGCTCTCACTGACAGCTGGGTACCCTGCTTTTCTGAGGGCCATGGAAAGCAGAGATACCTTAGTGACAGAAAGGAAGAGTCCTGGTAGCTTGAGTCAAGGGTGACTTGATCTGTGGCATTCTAATAGACGTAAAGGACAGTAAAGACTATGTGGTTAAAAAAATCATAAAAACTAGAAGACTAATTTATAGTTAAGGAAATTTTGAATTTCTATTAGAGGCTTTGGACAACTGGATCTGTGCTCTAAGAAGAGCATTCCACAGTATTCATAGAATAGATTATAGCAGGAGGAACTGGGTCAGGAAGACCAGTTAGAAAGTTGTTGTAACACTCAAAAGTGAAACAAATGGATGCTTTTTTTTCTTTTCGTAGTACTAGAGTTTGAACTCAGGGGCTGGCACTTGAACAAAAGGATTTTTTTTTTTTTGTCAGTCATGGGGCTTGAACTCTGGGCTTGGACGCTGTCCCTGAGCTCTTCAGCTCAAGGTGAGTGCTCTACCACTTGAGCCACAGCACCACTTCCGAGTCTCACAGGCTTTCCTGCCCAGGCTGGCTTTGAATCGAGATCCTCAGATCTCAGCCTCCTGAGTAGTTAGGATTATAGACGTGAGCCACCAGCACCCGGCTACAAAAGGATTTTTGATCCAGGATAATGCTGGAGTTAAACCATGGTTTTTACTTTTTATTAACCTAAAAAAGTTGGTGGCCACTCCTCCCAAACACAAGAACTTATTTAAACCCTTATTTTCAGCTTGGATGTATAGTGGTTTCATTTTTCCCTAATTTTTCATGAGCAGCACAGTTTGGGGGAGAGAAAGAGATAGAAGGAGAAGTACAGGAATAGAGGACCAGGAGGTCAATAGTTTCCTTTTTAGATCTTTCTGGTGTATTTGCATTGCCTCACTGTAGTAAATCAGTGAGAAAATTAGCTTATCAGGAAAAAAGGGTTCGTTTGGGCTCAAAACGCTGGATCAAAAGGTTGGCCTTGTTGCTCTAGAGAAACAGTACATCATGGTAGAAGCACTTGGCAGAACAAGAAGAAAATGGCTTACCTCATGTTCAGGAAACAAAAGGACCTGAAGTCATCCCACTAGGTTCTATCTCCTAAAAGTTTCACCATCTCCCCAAAACTCCACCCTGGAGGAGAAGCCTTCAACACATTAACTTTTGGAGGACACTCAAGATCCAAACTATTAGCATTTGGTAAAAGAAATATGTGTTACCACTAACTGTAATTTATTTTGAGACAGGATCTCAAATGCAGCCCAGGCTATCCTCAAATTCACCATTCTCTTGCTTTAGCCTCCTAAATGCTGGAATTACAAGTGTCTGTTATAACGTCCTTGTCCTAACTGTATTCTTTATGCACTATAGATTTACACCATTTTTTCCTCTGTAGGCTTCTTTTTCCTACTTTAAATCCTAGAGTTTAGAGCTATTTTTCTAGTATAGAAAAATATGATACAGCTGTATAGCTAAGACACATCATACAGCCCAGACCTCTTAATTCTGCTGAAAACACTCTGAAGCTCTGAGAAGGAAGAATACCTTGTCTTGAGCCACATGGTCAGTAGGTAGTAGGGCATGGCCATTGATCCTCTTAACTTCCTAGATGACCTTCAGCTCTCAGCACAGATGGACAGTCCTTGGACACTGCATTTCCAGTAACGATGCCTCTCATTTACATATTGTCTTGGCAGCTGGAGCCTCACAGGTCCTGCATTATGTCTATAACATCTCTCAGATACCTTATCAACAGGTGTCTTAAATTGTCTAATTTTAAGTTTGCCTGATGAACAAATCTTTATTGACTGCTCTGAGCTATCTGATGTGAAATTAGGAGATAGAGCTTAGAATGGCATCTGGGTCCATTTATAGTCACCAATACCTGCTGGCCACTCCCAAGGAAACTCTACCATTACCTTAAACCCAACCTATTCCCTTTAAGACCCTATCAAAGACCAAGTTTCCCAGCTCTATCATTCAGTGTCATCCAAACTAAAACCCAACAGGCCTTCTTTATTCTGATTACAGCAGTTAGCTCAAAGGACCATTTTGCTTTTCCTTTCTAGTGTTTTTTTTTCCTGTTCTTTCCATTGCTGTTTGGATCCTGACTGGAATCTTGTGTTGGACTGTGATGAGACAGTTGGAAACTTGCAGTGAATAGATGTAAATTTTAAGAAAGAATGTACCTCTCCTAACTTACTTTAAAATCTTTGTAGCTGTGGCATCACAGGCACCTTTAAAATAACAATAAAGTAAATAAAATAATAATTTATCACTATTAAGCTAAATTAGGTGAAAATTAACAGAACTGAAAATGGGTTAATTTATGGCATGGAAATCATATCTCTATAACAATGTTAAAAATGAATAAAATTGATAATGGTGTAGTATATACAGCAACCCCAAGACCATAACCATTCCAAATTCATCTGCTGCTTTCCAAAGTCCTTTGATGGATCATCATTGCAGTGAGACAGTTCAATAGTGTGGCATACAAATAAATTTCCAAATTGTGAGACATTAATGACCCAACAAAAATAACTCATTTTAGGTTGCTGCAAAAACAAGTTAGCTTGAGACCCAGAATTGCTTTATCCTTCTTTGGTAGTAAAAAAAAAAAAAAATCCATCGCTTTCAGCTTAGGACCTCTGTGGTTTTTTTTTTTTTAATGCCACTGCCTTTTGCCATGGCTGTCCAGCTGTGGTAGACTCTTTAGAGGGTGGCATCAGAACAGGACAGGTTTCATTGAGCTTTCCTCAGCCTGAGCTGACCTGTACATCACTAGACATGTATGTAGTAAGGACTACATACAAGTCATGAATAGATACTTAAGGGATTCCTAAAAAAATATATAAAAAGCCTTACCTCAAAGGTCAACCTGGTTAGAATGGAAGAAAAGGTAGCAATACACGGGATCAAAGAAATTCCAGATCAGAACTGGACATTAGGTTAAGCCCTAAGTAAAGATAAATGAAATCTGACCACAAGAGATTCCTGATATGGAAGGTAAGATACGTAGGAAACAGCATACCCTGCCACAAGAAACATTTTGACAGAGGTAAGCCAAGATCCCTTGTGAACCTAAACCAAGACTGAAATAATTTATAGTAAAAGCTAGAAATAATAGAGCATGACTGTGTGCCCCAGCTACGACATTGTCATTTTTCTCATTTTATTCTCAAGTGGCTTTTTTTTCTTTTTAATTTCATCCTTACACCAACTTTCTGAGTAGAAGTTATCATTATTTCCAGTTTTTAGATTTTAGAAAGCTGAGAGAAGTGAAATAAATGATCTCAGGTCCCATTTTTTTTTTTTTGCAAGTAATAGTCCAGCAATGATCTGCCTCTTGCTGGTATTGAGGACTACTGTGTCCATTGATTCTTCCTGTAAGAGGCCTCACCTGAGCAGAGCCAAAAGTATGTATCAGGACTGTTCATGCAAAGCTGGGAAAGAGCAGTTGGGGGAAGTGCAGATTTTTGTAGGCATGGAGAACAGCCAGTAAATGACATGCGAGAAAGAGAACATGGCATTCTTAGAATCCAGTGTTTCTCAGGACAACTGGAATGGTCAAACCTTCCTAGAGTAGGTGAATTTTGGGCTTTGAGGGGACAGACTGAAGAGCCCAACATCTGGCATAGGAGGAAAGAAGGAGAAAGGGTGCTGAGCCCTGGCACTCACCTTGCCAGGCCCCAGGTGAAGTCTGGAAGACAAAAAAGGAGACCTGAGTTTGGGAAGTGGTTTATATTTGGGTGTGGGAGGGACATGACAGATGAGGTGCCTATGCCTTCTAACCTGGGTTTTCCCCCTGCAGCTTATACCCAACTGCAGCCACACCAGCTCCTCCCACAGCCGTCAGCAAAGCACCTGCAGCCCCACTTCGTGATCCAGCCACAGGCACAGCAGCCACAGCAGCAGCTGCTGCAGCCTCAACCATCTCGACCTGTGCCCCAAGCCCAGCCCCAGCTTGCCTCAGTTCCCCCAAGCCTGGCCCCACAGCCCAGCTCAGAAGCCCATGCCATGCCACTAGGCCCATCTACACCTACCCTGCCACTCCAGTGTCCCACTACCCATCTGCACAAGCCTGGCAGCAGTCAGCAATGCCACCTATCCACACCAGATGCTGGATCTCAGAATGGACATCCTGAGGGCATGTCCCATACCTCTCAATGCAGGCTCCATCACACCTCAGCTGTCATTTTACAACTACAGCCTGCTTCACCAGTGGTGAGTAAGCTAACCCCCATGGACAGGGAGCAATGGGAGGCACAATTCAGGCAGTCATGCACCCACAATCTAGGTGTGTTTCTTTTTCTTTCTCAATGGGATAAGCATTGAAGTCATCACCAGGTATCCCAAGGGAGACAGGATAGGGCTCTGCCTAACTTGGTGACCAGTGAATCATAAAGTTCTTGCTTTCTTTCCACATCCCACAGAAACTATGGTAGTGCCCTTGAATGCAGAAGCAATGTATAACAAGCCCAATCTCTCGGTTCTGTCCCTTGCAGCCCCACCAGTCTGGCCCTGATGACTGGAAAGAAGCGGAAACAGGGGAGAAGAGTATACCTGAGGCTCGGTCAGGCCCATCCCCACACCAGCAAGCCATTGTTACTACCATATCTGGTGGCATGCCTGTACCCAAGAGCCCCAGCATTCAGCGGTCCCCAGCTCACGGTATGAAGCTATGCAGCATAGCAGGGCCCTTGGGGGGAGGGGAGGAGTTGGCTTCCTTGCCATCCCCTGACACAGTGCACTCAGTAGGGTAAATACACCAAGGTATTAAGGAAGCGAGGGGTAGCAGAAAGCAGGAAGGAAGGGAGGGAAGGAAGGAAGGAAATAAGCTAAAGAAAGGGGACATGGAAGAGAGAATAGTAAAGGGGTAGAAAAAGCAGAGCTGAAATTTCTTGAGCCGCTCTCTGAGGTCTTCATGGCATTGCAATAGAATATATATGCACATGTGTGTGCCAAGTGGAGAGCAGACCCAATACCCAGTTGTGGTGCTTTTGACTTCACTATGAGGGGGAGTTCTTGAAATTGGGAATATGGAAAGTAAAGTTCCATATCTCAGAGGCCTCGGAGGAGCCAGAAGGGGACTCAGAATTAGCTCAGCTCACAGAAAGCATCTCTGAGGGAACTGTGAGCTCCCATCTGTCTTATCTGTGAGATACAAGTGAGCTTCTCCATGGCTTAGGTCTCTCCAGACTGCTGGACCACTCCACCCTGGTGGGAGAGTCACAGCAGCACCTCCGCTCTCTGCAGTGATCCATTTGCTTCCCTTCCCATCCATGCCAGTCTGCACAGCAATCTTGGCCCAAATCTCAGTGACATTCTGTGCCACAGGCCACCAACAGTTCAGGAAGGCAGTTTTTCAGTCATGATAGAAATGTGTGCTGCCACTGGGGATGGGTGAGGGAGGAGAAAGGAATTTGGAAATTGAAGGAGAAATGAGTCAAGGTAGAGCTAAAATGTTATGTGGTCCCTTAAGGGAAGGGGAATGAATTCAGGTAAAGAAGGCTAGACAAATGTAAAGATAGGAAGGAGGTCATTCATTTGTCTTTGTATTATTACAATGATAAAAAGCTCATTAGGGGCTGGGGTGTGGGAAACTGCTTGTCTGGCATGTATGAGGCCCTGGGTTCAATCCTCAGCACTGCAAGAGAGAGGACAAAGAAAAGCAGATAAGTCCATTGTGAAATTGGCCATCAGAAAGCTGCTCTACTAATTAAGGAAACCTGTTATTATTCTACCATTTGGCCACCACTGGTCATGATTCTGTCTTGTGAACTGTAACAGAGTCTGTTCCATACATATTCTGTAGACAGTTGTCATGTCTCTAGCATCTCTTTCCCATGAACAGGAGCGGGAGGGGAGACAGTGACAGAGACAGAGACAGACTGGCGGCCACCTTCTAGGCTAAAGATCTGAAACTTTCTTCATTTTTTTTTTCAGTGTGGCACATGAAGAGCTACATTCCCATCATTTTGACCAGGCTTGTCTATATACATTCTACCTTTTCATTAATTCTCCTAAGGTGTGATCCTTCAAATTAATCACATTAATTCAAAATATAAAAAGCCATTACTGTTTATAAGCCTGCTAATAAGCAGGACTGTTTCCTAGATCCACAGGGACTGGTTGGAAGGAACTGAAAACGTGTTGAACACTATTATGTGTGGAGTACTATTCTATATCCTTACTCATAATCCCTTGATAGATAAGTATTATCCCTGTCATTCATAGAGGGAACAAAAAGTCTGGAGAGGGTCCAGGTCACACAGCTATGAAAGAGACCCCTCATGTAGCCACTTCTGCTTCTATACCTCAACACACCTCCTCCCTCAACACATCTCTGTACCTATGACCCTACATAATTCTTCTATCCCATGGGAATGGTGCTGTGGGTTCCCAGAGCACTATGTCAACTTAATTCCAAAAGATTGGGTTTAGTTCTGGTGTGGAGATTTCTTTTTACATGGACTGCTACCTTGTTACATCTCCTCATTCTCAAACTTGTACAATTTATATTTTGATGAAAATATACTTACTTATATGTGCTAAATATTATCTTACAAATTTAGCCTCTGGTTTCAGCCTAAAAAGAACTGGTTAATAGCTAACATTCATCAAACTTTGTCAGGTTTTACATGTATTTCCTCATTTAATCCTGACAACAATCATCTGAAGTAGGAATTTTTGGATACTCATTTTAAAGATGAGAAAACTAAGGCACAGAGACAATAAGGAGTGAGACAGGAATTTCTTATGTCTGTTATCATATCTGTTACTCATTATACTAACTCCTCTACTCAATTTGGCACCCCCCCACCACATACCTTATATAGTATGTTTTCTCAACATTATTTCTTTAAGTACTATTTTCCAACCTCACCCAAGTGAACTGTCATTCACCTTCCATTTCCCATCTTGTCCACAAAGCTATCAAAAATCTTTCTGCAGTCTAGGCAAGGTGGTAAACATATAGCAAACACCCTGTTCTTGAGGTCCTATCTCTGAGAGGTGTCTTTGCAGTGGAAATAATTGCTAGCCACTGGAGACTTAACTGGCCATGTGTTCTGTATATGTTTTGAATGCCAATCTATGCAAAGCACTCTGGGATGGGAGCTAATTATAGAGAGAAATAAGGTCTGTTCCTACCTTCAAGGAGATTAAAGTCTTCTGGGAAAGCATGCAGGAAACTAAAGAAAAGCTACAATGTGATGAATGTTATAGATGGAACTTAAATAAGTGCTTTTCAAATTAGGAAAAGGAAATGTCACTGTCAAGTGGAGATTATCATAATAGATTTCTAGTAGAAAGTGGCACAAAGCCCCAGGGCTACATCTATCATCTTGCAAGATAATAATGATTTTAGTGATCAAGAGAGTCCTGTTTTGGGATAGGTAAAAATTCTATGAGATTCAAGTTTTGGTGCAAAGAGTAAAGTTCATTCATGGACACATTGCTTTCATACTCTAGCAGCTGGGGCAAATATTATGTGGCCTGTAAAATCTAAGATGGTTTCTCTGATCTCCTACAGAAAAAGTTGACTAACTGCTTGAGTCTGACAGTCAAGGCTAGGCAGGACATGGGCATGCAAAGCTGGGGACCCAGCATTCCAGGCAGGGCAGTGGGTAGCTGCAAGTGCAGGCAGGTTGGGAAGTGGAGAGAATGCCAATATTCTATTCCTGTTTATAAAACAGATCATAAGTGTAAGAAATGCAGAGGCAGAGAGGAAAAGGAAATGTGAATATTAACGAAAAGAGGATTTGAAAACTTGGAAAATACCAAAGAGGGAGGGGGCAGTTAGTTAAACGTTTGGGAAATAGTTAATAAAGGTAAGGCTTAGAAACACAAAAGGTTGAAGCTGGCCCTTGGAAACAGTGAGAGGAAACTGGAGAATGAATGCTAAGAAGAGCAAGAAATGGGGAAATGCTGGAGAAAGAGGTAATGGGGAGATGCTGAGAGGTCAGGAATAGGAATTCTCAGTGGTCTGCAAAGTGGCTCCTGGAGGAGAGAATTGTGCCACAGAACATGAACATCTTTTGTACGCCACACCTCCCAGCGCATTTACTGAATGAAGGTGTTCTGTTAGAACAACTCAGGTTAAATCTGTGTGTTGGGCGGGGTGGGGGGGGAGGGAGACGACGAACATTTACTGGGCTCCCACTGAGCGCCAGGCACTGCAGGCAATTTGTAGGTCAGTTAACCCTCACATTAAAGCTAACGGGTAGGGATTACGCTCTTTATGGAGGTGGGACGGGTCCCTTCGGTCATTACTTCACCTCTCTGATCCTCTGTTCCCAGTGGGGCGGATAATGACCACTGAGAGGGCTACTGTGAGCCATACCAAGCAAGAGGGTGCCCTGACACTTACTGACCGTCATCATTACGAGGCTAGCTTCGGAGCCCCCAGCTAGCGCGGCCGGAGTCACCGAACCCAAACGGTGGAAAAGGTGCGGGCGAGGCCAGCCGCGCTCGGGCCGGCGATTGCCTGGAGAGCCGGAGCCCCGCACCCCCGCGGGGCGGGGCTCCGGCGCACAAAGGAAGCGCGCGGCCCGCGTCCGTCGCCCGCTCCGCCCAGCCGCCGGCCCGGCCCCGCCCTCGCCCCGCCCCGGCGGAGGCGGCCCGGGAGCCATCCCGGACTCGCCGCATTGTCTCCGCGGCGCTGCAGCCCTCGAGCGCCTGCCGCGCACGCAGCCCGGCCTCCGCCCGCGCCCCCGCCCGGCCTCGCGCCCCCGCCCGGGCCAGCGTCCCCATCGCCCTTTGTCGAGGCCAGCCAGGCCGCTGCGATCGGATGCGCCGCGGCAGCCCCGGGCCCCGGCTCGGAGGCTCCCGGCCGAGAGGAGGCGGCCCGCCCGGGCCCCCGCGCGAGGCGGCGCCGGGCCGAGGGGCTGCGTAGGCCCCGCCCGGCCAGGCCCAGCCGGGCCCTGGACAGGTCAGTGCCGGGGCGGGGGAGGGGTTCTCGCCGGAGGGCTGGGGCCGCGCAGGAAACCGGGCGCCGCCCTCGAGGCCGCGCGCGGCGGCCTAGTCGGCTACCAGGCGGTGCCAGCCGCGGCGCTCGCCCTCTGGGCGCCGGGGAGGTGCCCGGGAGCCGCCGCCATCTCCAGGGAGCCGCCGCGCCTCCGTGCGCCCTCTTCCCCGCACGCCCGCGTCGCCGCACGGTCGCCCGCGAGCGCGGCCTCCGGGCCGGCGGCGTCTGCCGCACTTTACGCGGAGCAAACATTCCCCGTGTCCTCGCTGGAGAGTTTTGTTCTTGATCTAGTTCAGCCTCCAGAGGTTTTTATTGGCTGGAAAGAGACAAGCCGTTCTGGGCTCGTCCCCTTCCGTTTTTAGAAGAGCGTTTTCCCTCTCTCCCTCCTTGCCAAATGTGGGTATGCTGCATTGTTATTTAAGTCTGACTCCACACCTAGCGAGATCATTGCCCTAGGCCTGAATTCGAACTGGTGGTGAAGCGACAGGTCTGAATTCCCAAACCCCTGTCTCCCACCCACGTTGTCGGATGCTAGTCGTTGCCGCTGAGACCCTCCATCCACCCTACCCCCACCTTTGCTGCCTGCATAGATTTCTGACCAACTTTCTTTCCCAGCCTACAAAGTTTACCTTCTTGTGCCATCTACAGAGCACTCTTCTTTTTCCTCCTTTACTAATCAGTGACAGCTTTCTCCCCCGGATTT